GCGCGCTTCGATATCGGCTAACGTTTGCCTTGCTTGCTGCGTGTCTGTGATGATACCCTGTGTGAAGACACCCGGATTCCCTGATTCAATCATCTCTTCCAAATCCTGCAACATACCAGTATTTTTTCAGGGTATTCACTGCTGCTAAATTTTTCACAGTAATGAATTACTACAATATCAGCCTTCTGTCCAAAAAATGCATGGAATCTAAAATCACTAATATACATGTCTTCCTGCTCATTCAGAGTGAAGAGTAGAGCAGTGTAGTAGCAAAGTCAGAATTGCTGCTAGATGATTCATTTTTTGGGAGGAAATAGACCCAATTTTTATTTTTAAAGTCGCTTTTTGGTAATTTGTCTAAAAACCAGGCAATCTCCAAATGTCCCCTTTTTCCGTAAGGTGTAAATGCGGGAGGGGGGATTTCATTTGCTCGATTTCATATTGTCAACAGTTTTACCAAGAAAATCAAAAAATAAAAAGAAAAAATAATCAAGCTCGATCAAAATTTGACTAATACATTTTGACTTGACAAAATTTGACTTGTAGAAGTTAAAGTTTTTGTTTGGGAAGCCGCTCGGCTAGTAATCCCTTCAGGAGATGAAACAAACATCAGTATTGCCAGCAAGCTGACAGCCACAGCGACACGGGTCAAGAGTTTTCAAAAGTTACCAGGCCGCACAGACTATGAACAGATCCTTTAAACATAAAACAAACATGTTAATGCGGCCTACGCAGAACTCTCGAAAAAATCTCTTCACATCCTCGACTGTAAGGGTAAAATCTCTTCCACCACGTTCAACAAGTCATCACGTTATTCTCATTATTCCCTTATTCGAATCAGTAGTACCTGATTTAGTTCATAATGCATTGCTGCTGCACACATTTACGTTCGATACAGTAAACTGAGTAGTACAGTACTCTTTCGCTCTTAAGTATTATGGTACCGGAATATAATTTCTTTCATGACCAAGGAATCACTGAGAGAAAGAAGGCATAAAATTGAAGACAACACGGACTGTTTTTGTCCCAGAGCAGTTTTTTGTCCTGAATTTTTCATTCCTGAATTATCCAGATCGTCCAAACCATCGGTATAAGGCACTCCCTGCTAACGATGTTAAGCTATACAGCTGTGATAAACCCTCCGCCATGCACTGCTTACCTTTTGACACTTTGCATGTTAATTTTGCTGCAAGTGTCACACTGACGAGGTCCAGTTGCAGCACTGAACAGGAATGTATGCGATTTAAAGGACCGAAACATTCCTATCCAGGTTTTTTAATCCAATTTATCTTATTCACCCTCTTTTTATTCCTTTTTAAACCTTACTTTTTACATAAATACACATCATCTAAAATTAAAATTACTCAGTTTTGTACTTGTAGCCACATGCGTGGATGCCATTACCCATGCGGTTTTATTCTTTTTCATAGATAATACTGGTGCAAGAAGTTTATAAAATTTTACAGACATGTTTTTTCACGAATAACTTTTATAATGGTCCGTCAAAGCAGGGATGAATCTCTACTTAATGTGGCAAGAAAGAGGACAGATGGACAGGGCGGATTACTGAATGGTACCCATGCAATGTTAAATGAAAATAGTAAGAAAAGCTACTAATGCAGTGGAAAAATTTGCTTGAACGTCTAAATGAAACTGTTTGAACAAAAAAAAAATCCAAGATACGGAAGAATGGAGGAGTTGCCAGCTGCATTAGAGGTCAGAATTGCAACAATGAAAAGCAGCTAAATGAAGTATCACGGTAATCTTTCTGCTTAATTTCCTATCTCTGAATAACTATCGCCTTCATGCTCCCCTGGTTTAATAAGCATCTTTCTAATACTGTTATCTGCGAGTAATCTTTTCACTTTTCAAAGCCATTTATGAAAAAATCTCTGTTTAAAAGCACTATTTTCACTGATTTTGACAATAACTCAACTGGGTACCTCATCGCCGACTTGTTTGCCAGCAATGTCCAGCTGCCTTTGAATGCGGCCCTTACAGCGTTCTCGGTAATCAGTCTGTGTTTTATTGTAATCAGTCATCACTTCCACGAATTTCCGGGACAGTGTGGAGTGCTGTGTTTTGCGGATACGCAAATCAGCCGAAGACATGCCACCGCTTTCGTCATGCTCAATGCTGTTTTCGATTACTGAAAGAAATAAAAAAAAAATAATAATAATAACATATGGTTAGTTGTTTTTTCCCTCACGAACCCGTCGGAGGATGGAAACGCTCTCAGGCACAGTGATGACAGATTGAGTTTTATCAATGTTAATCGATCCGGACACATTTCTCATTATCCTGACATTCCGTCCGTCTCCCTCACCCATCCTGCTGCTGCTGCTGCTGCTATCTAAATGCCCTTTTGGTGGTATGTTATCCGTCGAACTATGCAATTTCGTTGTGTAAATTCCATTAACACCTCTCAGTTGCCATTTTTTTTTTTTTTGCAAATATACATATATGCCTTTCCCTGTTCTTCAGTTGCTGCATCTCATGGAAAATGAATTTCAGGATATCCATCGGGACACATATCACGCACAACTAACAATGCAAGGCGCACAAATGAGACAATTTTTTCATGTTCAGATTTCTGATTACTCAAATCTCTGCAAGGAACAGGGGAGCAAAGCGCCGATACTACTAAAAAGGAGGCTTATCTCCCCTCCCCCTCTCTTTTCTTTCGGAAAGTTTAGGCCAGTTCCCTTTCCTCTCTAAATAAGTCTGCAAAATTTAATCTTAGAAATGATATGTAAATATGAAACAAAGACTGCTGAAATCCAGAAATTACAGTACTCTATCTCATATTCGATGCTAGCAAACGCAATAAAAAATTCATATGGGAATCAAAATATAATGCATGAGCAGCGTAGAAAAACCTTCTGGTTCATCAATCATGGGAGAGAAGGGCCGGAGACAAACAGATGAATTCACTACAGGCCATAACCTACATTTCAGTTTTCCACGAACTTTGTTTGCTGTCTTCTTGATACTCGCCATCAATTCATCCAATTCCTCTTTCGTTTCTGCAAAATTCGCAACATGTTTCAAATTGCTTTCCACAAATTACACTTTTGCACGTCGTAGCTTTTTGGCACTGAAGCAGCTGGCAACATCTCCATTCTTCTCTATTTTTGGCCTCTTTCACCCAGTCGTAAATTACACACTCATTTTTTGGAAAAGAGTCTTTAGCAGCAACAATATTGCTTGCAACTGTCTAGGGAATTGCTTGCTAAAAACTTATTTCAGCTTGATTAGTGGTTTAAAATGCATGTAAAACAGTAAGTCGGCTGAGAAGACATACAAAATATAAATTCAAAATGAGTTCCAATATCGAATACTCTTTGTACATCATACTAATGATTTCCGCTCCTACCCACACGCGTAATTCGACCTGTGTTTACAGCTAAGGGATGAAACACTGGCTGCATCGTAAAATGCCTTCTTATACATGACACCTAAGTCCAGTGCTTTTATTCTACTAATCACATCATAACCACTTTATACACCAGCATAAATCCTGCCAACCTCTCAACAATGCAGCAGTGCTGTCTAAAATTCTGAGGCCTGTCACCGAAAATACCAAGAAAATCAAGAACGAAGTTGGGCCGGGGAAACAAAGCTAATTCAGCCGGACTGTCTAAAATTCAGTGTTGAGTTGTGGCATGTTAGCCACAGATTTTAAATCTTTTATTTTTAAAAGACTGAATCCGATTGAAATCTGGCAAGTCATCTGTAGATTTTACAACTTCTATTACTGGAAGGCTAACTTTGACTGAAAATAAGAAATATTTTGCTAATCCAGGAGCAAATGCAGATTTAAGTACTTACAACGCTGCGTACTGCCAACAAATTCGACCTTTCGAACTCTTTTTTTAAGAGCAAGCAGCAAGAATCGCAACAAAGAAATTAGAAAAAAGGAAAGAAATTTAGAAAAAAGAACCTTTCAAAACGCTTTTTGTAAAAAAAAGACAAATTAATGGTTTTTTGAAGAACATACTAGGGTCGTTGACAGGATTGGATAGAATCGCCGAATGCTTTTTCTTAACTTCTTCCACATTTGACGCAATTAAATCTACACTACCTCGTATTTCTTCAACCTTAACAATGATATCAATAAATAACTGAAGCAAACAGATCCGACAATGAAAATAAATCTCACTGGAGCAGTCTTATTAACAAAAAAAAGTTTTGATCACGCACAATTCAGTGGGTAAGAAATGGCTTTCACTGTTTTCCACTTTCAAAGTCTGTCTGAAGAACAATTCGAAATCCCTGACGAAAGGACGCCGTAACGTCTAGGAACTGGAATTTCCACGGCCAAAGTGTTAAAACCAATGATCAGTTCCCGCCCAAATATTATAGCAAAAGGGCAGAAGCGTAACTTTTTAATGCGCTAATCAGGATATCATGTTCACTGGTCAATATATATTTATTCGGACTGCAAAGCCGACGATATCAAAGTCATGGAGGTCGAACCTCATGCACTTACTCCCCGTAAGAGGCAGCAGCCTGATTTGTGGCACATGCCACCAGCAATTACCCACTAGCAAAACTGCTAATAATTATCTCTTGCAGAGATAATCTAAAAAAAAAAAAAGCTGATTACGGATGTGAGCCCCTTGCAGGTTAGCGTCGAAAAGAATGAACGAATTGTACAGGGTTATATGGGGGTTCATTGCCCTACTAGCGGAGTGGGTATCTCAACTTTAGTTAACAGAGTGCCACCGCTTTAAACTGCGGCACGCCCAAATTATCCAGTAATTATGCAAGCTTACACCCGAATTCTTTAAACTGAGCATAAAAAATATCAAAACCGATATAACTGGTAAAATTATGAAACGAAAAAAACCCCATTACCTGTTCGAAAAATTCTTCCATGAATTGCCCTTGGGCACTGTCGGCTCCGAGATCATCCTCGCGTTCATCGTCCGACTGCGCCTGAAAGCAAACATTTTCAAAAAATCACCCCTCGGACCAAACAAACAACGGAAAATTTCAACAAACACTGCATCAGTTTTAGTAAAACACAAAAGTCCGGAAAATACTCCCAAAAAAAAGAAAAAGAAAGGAAATCACGGAAAAAGGAACAAACCGCTTTCAGAGCGCTTAGGCGATCTTTCGTCATCGTTTATGGCACAAATGATAGTGTGAAATAAGTTAGAAATAACAGATAAGCAGAAGTGATGTGGCTTCGCTCTATAAAACAGGATAAAACCTCAGCAAAGTTGAACAGCTAGAAGAGGGATGATGATACAACAGCATATCAAATACCCAAAATCCTGAAATAAACTTCACTAGGCATGGGCTGAGAGCATCACAACAAACAGCGTCGATTGTGCGGTTAGATTCACGAAAAATAAAGATCGAATGATAATATTCGCAATGAAAAAAGTCAAAAATAATAGCAATATATAAATATTAGATTCTTTTCTCTCCTTCCTAAACCTCTTCTTAAACTCTAATCATAAAATTAATATCACACCTTTCACCCTTTCTTCCTCACCCTATTCATATTCCTGTAACTCCCCTCTATCACAGCTTTTTCCCCTTTTTTCTCCCATTTTTCCTTCTCTTTCATTCATTTCCACCCTCTTTTTCTCATTAGGCACTGCGACCGTCATACTGACGAGGTCTAGTCGCAATTTTGAGTTAAGACGTATATGACTTAATGGACCGAAATGCCTCATCTCACTTTGGCCTTTTCTGATATTGGTCTTTCTTTCCGAATTCTACCACGCCTTCTTCACGTATGCTTCCACGGTTATCCCGGATGCTGCACTCGGCACAGTATAGCAATATATTAACATTATTAGTAAAGCATACTGAAAATAACAATCATCACAGTAACACTGACACCATAATAACAATAATAATGATAACGATGATAAATATAATTAAATGTCATTCAGTTCATTTTTTCTTGCATGAAACACATGTATTCGTTCATAATTAACATAACAATAACCGCAACAAGATGGAAAAGACAGAAGAAAAGAGGGGAAAAGGAGGGCTGTCGACAGATGCGATGAAACCGGCAATTTTAAGTTGCCAGTGGCAAATTTATGCCAATGTAAATATAAAATCGAAAGTAAAACACTTGAAAAAAAAGCCTCAATTCCAATGAGCTGAAGGCAAAATTTTGCCGCTACGAAAGCACAAAAAAAAAAATCCAAGAAAGGTGAAGAAGAAAAGCCAATGTGCCAGCATTCATACGTTAATGTGAATGCAACGAAGGCCAACAATGTTTCAGCTTGCGGCTACTGAATGCACTCTGAAAGGAACTTCGATCTTTTCAGCCACGTACCAAGAAAAAGCATTCATGGCACGACCCATTCACCATCAAAATGGATAATTGGGGATTGATTTTACCAGGACGAAAAGATTACCTTTTCTGAAGTTATTCAGAGCTGAAACATTGCTGGGGGCACAGCGCAGCGGGCAGCACTGATGTTGTGTAGTAGGGTCGAGGCTCATTAATGCAAGTTTCTACGTCTTATAATTACCACCTGTTATCTAGTATTCAATAAATTAGCCCCTTCACACATTTATTTTACAATGCCTCTTATACACACATCAACACCACACTCGCAATACTGATGAGATCTAGTTATCGCAGAAATGCATACGATTTAATGGATCGAAACATTCCTGTTCATCCGATCAATGCATTTTTATATTTTATAAATATGGATTCCGAAACGTGCTAATCTCCCACGATTGGACATATATCACCATTAATATCTTTATTATTCAAATCCACCAGCGATTCGTTGGATTAGTTTATTTGTTTCGTTGGCAAACTGTTATTGCAATATGCCAGGG